CACACACATACACACTCAGCACCCTCTACAATACGGTTCCAGGACCTAATGTGTGTCGATACGTGTATGTCAGTAGAACAACATGTGCGTGCACCCATGCACATATATGTTTTACTTCATTTAAAACAAACTACAGAGGCTAATCAATTATATGAAAGGTCCTGGAGGAGCCTAGGTCTCCCACAAACACTCCAGCAAAGTTCTAACAATGCACCAGAAGGAAGAATGATGAAAAATACCCAGAGAAAGATACCATAAGCTCTTCCATCCCGCCAGGACTGCCCAAGATAGTGCCAGAAGCCTGTGGCCTTCTGATCATAGCCAAGCCAGTGTCCTGATCGGGGGCCTAAAGCCAGCAGGATCTCAGCCTTGGACTGTTAGAACAGGGGTCACAGAACCAGTCCTCTGGAGCTCACAGCATTGGAAGCACGTACTTGTCTGGGGCCTTTGAAGGCGCAGGGCGCCGTGCCTGGTAGCCCTCATTAGAATCACTGCAGAGGTTGAGGCCACTGCAGTGTCAAGCAAGCAAGCTTCAGCTATGCCACAGGACCAGGGCCAATGAACTTCTGGGAACCTAGCCCCAGGGCACACTCCAGGGGGCCTGAAGCCATCGCTCAGACCAGGGCCCTCCTGAAAAACGGGAGCAGCAGCGGGCACCTAGTGTGAGCTCTGCTTCCAGGCCTTTCGGCACATGGAGCCACCTCCTAGCTGAGGCTTGTGTAAGAGAAGGACTAGGGTCGAAACCCACGTTAAGACTCCCCAGAGGAGAGGATTCTGGCCCAGGGCAGGGCCTCGTCCTCAGCCCCAGCACCGCTGGAGCAGTGGTGTCCAGGTGGAGCCTGGTCAGGCAGGACCTGCTCCCTGCTACAGGAGCGTGAGAGGGGCTAGGCTTAGCAGAGTGCCCGTCCGTAGTGAAAGAGAGGCATGAGATCGGAGTGAGCCAGAGAAAATGAGGATGAGGAAGAGAAGCCCATGTGATAAAGCTAAGGAGATCCTCAGGGCAAAGAAGGGCTTGGCCACACGGACTTTAAGACTGGCTAGGAGAAATGAAGCAAGAGACAGAAAGTAAGAGTTTATGTGAAATTCGAGCTTTCAAGGAAAAAATTGGACAGAGAATAAGTAGCTTAGAACAGAAGGTAGAAGTCCTTACCTAAATAGTGGGCTCCTGAAAAGTAGAAAAGGATCATGCAATTTGCAAGACTATGATGAAACAACTTTGAAGTAGAGAAAATCTTGGTATGCTCTGCTCCAAAGGGCAAAAGAGAAAAGCTTATAACCAAGAATAATTTACCCTGCAAAACTGAGTATAAACCTGCGGGGTGCTAAGGGGGTAGGTGTCAGCCTTTAATAAAATAGAGGATTACCAAGTATTCTTGAAGAAAAGATCAGAGCTGAATAGAAACTTGGAAACACAAACACAGGAGTCAAGAGAAACACAGAAAGATAATCAAATCTGAGAATCTGTAAGGATCTAAATGATGATAATATGTTTAAAGCAACAGATTTTAAAAATCTAACGTTATGGCCAAGTTGGATTTAAAACAAGAAGGCAGGATCAGTTCAATATTAAGAATTCTATAAACATAATAGTACTTGATATTAAAAGCAAAAATAATAAAACTCATATGATTATGTCAGTAGATACATAATACAAGCTTTGGACAAAATTTAACACATATTTCCATGAAAAACACTAGAAAGCAAAGGAACAAATAGATCTTTCCTTAATATAGTAACTAGTGTCTGTCTAAAACTAAGAGTTAACACTGTGTCTAATGGATTAAAAACACCAGAAGCTTTTTCATTATGGTCAGGGATACAGCCAGCATGCCCATTGTTACCACTATAATCTGTTATAATTCTAGAAATATTAGCTGTAGCAGAAAGTTAAGAAAAAGAAATTGAGGAAGAGGCAAAGAAGAGACAAATTGCTTTTTGCAGATGATATGATTGTTTCCTTAGAGATTTCAAGTGATTCAATTAAAATTAATAGAAACTACTACTAACTTCAGTAAAGTAGCAGGAAATAAGCACACATAAATTATTAGTTTTTTGGTATACTACCAACAAAGCTCAGCAGAAAAAAGATAGAAGACACTCCGTTCAAAATGACTATAAAGCATATAAATGATATGGCAGTCTGCTTTCCAGGACACGTAATCATATGAATAAATTGTAAAACTTTATAGAAATAAAGGATTACCTAAACAGGGAGGGGCTTAATTCACATGGTTGTACTGAATTAATAGAATATAGATTTGGTGCCATTCCAATAAAATGATTATTTTACTAGCTGTGTGGCCCTGGGCAAGTCACTTAACCCTATTTGCCTCAGTTTCCTCATCTGTAAAATGAGCAGGAGAAAGAAATGGTACACCAACCTAGTATCTTTGCCCAGAAAACCCCGAAAGGAATCACAGAGAGTCAGACATGACTGAAACACTTGAACACCAACAACTTCCCATCACTTTCTCCAGTGTACCACCTAGCTGCCTCTCGCTACAGTGAGAAGAGCTCTGGATTTGCCATCAGGAGTCCTGGGTTCAAATCCTCATTCTGCTGACTCTTTGTGGCCTCCCTGGCCAACTCCTGGGCTCCCTCCAGCCCCGGGTCTTTGGCCGGCGGCTCGAGGAATCTCTGCTTTTACCAGAAGATCCAGGAGCATCAAAGGGCGAGCTCTGGTGCCACAGAAGGCTGCCACGAGGCAGGCTTCCAGACACAGTGGGACCACACATCCTGATTGGGCATGACTAATTGTAAACTTCCTTGTGCATTTAGACCTGCAAATAAACGATTGTGACTCTTACCGTGCAGGGAAAGGCTCCTTTCATCCGATGACTTGCTGGAGTGGTTCCGGCCCTTCTGTGCGGATGACGCCTTGCCCATCAAGCCGCGGGTCCGGGTCTTGCAGAGCGTGGAGCGCTCCTTCCATCTCACGGATGAGGATAGGAAGCTGCTGGTGTTCTTCCGGACAGAAGCCATTCTCAAGGCCATGTGGCCGCAGACACAGGTGAGCAACTTCCCCAGGCCTTTCCCTGGCTCCCTCGTCTCCTTCAGCACCCTCTGACTGCCTATCTTCCCTTGATAGCCTCGCGTCGCCCTGAATGGGCATCCCCGGTAACGGTGGGTGGAGTGGGATCAGGCTTTGCCAGACTGACCTTGGGGTGCGTAGGGGCTTCAGAACCTCACCTCCTACTTCCCAGGAGCTCGCCAGGTGCTCAGGACCCAGTAGGTGCTTAATGGATGCTTATTTTTGAAGAGAGCATCACGAATGCAGTGATGACAAGTAAATGGAGTCACATGTGCAGTAGTTTCATCTTAGCTCAGCAGATGGGGGTGGGGGTGGGGTGCCCTGCACTCTCCCATTTTGAGGCAGGACGCTAGAGCCTCTGGCCACAGAGGCCACTTGTGATTATGCCACAGGTGGCTCTGTGGATTCGCTACAAGCCTACCGCCCTGCGTTGAGCTTTGACTTTGGAGGGCATCCCATTTCAATGGGCACATCTTCAAAGTAACATGTCCACCTTGGGAAAGGCTGAGAGCTGGACCTGGAGTCAAGAAGACCAGAGTTCAAATCTAGCCTCAGACACTTACTAGCTGGGTGACCCTGGACAAGTCACTTAATGGTTTCTACCTCAGTTTCCTTATCTGTAAAATGGTATAATAGTAACACTCTCAGAGTTGCAAAAACAAAGGAGGTATTAGTAAAGTACTTTGCAAATCTTAAAGTGCCATATAAAGGCTATCATCCTCATCCCCAGCTTACCCTCGTCATCCCTTGTTCCCTATGCCAGATGAGAAAGGAATCCATCACCTTCTGACACCCAGGACTAGCCTGAAGCCAGGCTCTCTAGCAACTTGGTGCCTCACTCTCCTCCCTGGGATGGGGGGTGGCGAGCATCAAGGCCCCCCCCCCCCCCATCATCTCACCAGAGCCACCAAGAGTGTCAGTGAAAAGTGGGTGATTAGCATAATCTTCTGGAGAGGTGACTAACATATGTTTAACTCTCTTTTCTTTCTTTCCCTCCCTTCCTTCCTTCCTCCTTCTCTCCGTTCCTTCCTTCCTCCCTCCCTCCCTCCGTTCCTTCCTTCCTCCCTCCCTCCCTCCGTTCCTTCCTTCCTCCCTCCCTCCCTTCCTTCCTTCCTTCCTCCCTCCCTCCCTTCCTTCCTTCCTCCCTCCCTCCCTCC